GGGGGGCTCCACACCGTCTCATGCTAACAAGCTGTAAATGCAAAGAGCACTACCTACCTAGTAGACACAGATTTTCCTCCTCCCCCAAACTGTTCCCAGCTGGGTACCCATACCCTCTATGGGATTCAGTAAAATGTCCACAGGATGAAAGAGGGACTGAGGTGGCCTCTGACCCTAAACAAACTCCCATTCAAATGCACTGTTGTAGATGAATTTCTTACCACCTGCAATGATGGGACAGGGTAACTTTGGGAACCACTTTCATAATTAAACATTTCTACAGCATCTTTTCAAATGCCCAAAACAACCAAATGCCAGAGCAGCAATGTATTGTATTTGTGCATTGGAGGGTAGTGAAAGGGAGACGGGAAGGCCAGTCTCTAAGGGGGTAGGATTATGAGGTATAAAGCATTAGAAGAATGGACTTTCCCTAACAAGGACTGGTCAGAATCCCAAGAGAATGATAAAATGTTCTTACAGCCTGGTTTGGGGGCCAGCAGGTGGTGTGATAGTTAAGGCACTGGACTCCCACATGCGTGACCATGGTTTGAGTCCAGACCTGGTGGCTTGCAAATCACGCCAGGCATGTGTATGTATGCCCAAAATCCCAGGAGGAGAATGAAGGAGAAAGGACTGCAGCATAGCCTTTCCCCTGGGGGGCGGGGGAGGAGGGATTTCTCATTTTCCTTTTCTCTGCAAGTGTATGTGCCCTATGGAAAAAGCCTAATAAATGAATAAATAAATAAATAAATAAATAAATAAATAAATGCCTGGTTTTTACCCTTTGCTGTGTCACAAACTAGATGAAACTCTGGGTAAGTGGTCAATCACTGTGAACTTCAATCACAGGTGAAGGAGAAGGCCGGCCCCTCCCCACCCTTCCAGTAGCCATTCTTACCAGAGCCCAACTTTTCTTGGGATTTTATAGCTGGTCATTATCAAGGGTTCAGCCTTCTGGAAAAGGTCCCATGGTCTTACCTCACAGGAAAGAGAGAGAGAGAGAGAGAGCGAGCGAGCGAGAGAGAACACCCTGGAATAGAGGCCTCCTTTCTTCCCATCCCTGCTTCCCACATACTCAGCAGAGGCCTCTAACCAGGGCAGCTTGCTGAGGAAGAGATCTTGCCCTCTTTGAAGGGAGTCTACCACTGCCCATTCACTGTCCTGGGCCCTGCAGAGTCCACCTGGCACTTCCCATTGCCATTCCCCATTTGATTTCTCTTTCTTCTCCTAAACATACACAGGCAGTCAGGCAGAGCACAGAAGAAGGCAGAGAGGAGCTGAGCAGCCCTGACTCTGAAGGTGGGAACTGGGGGTCCAAGCCTCACCCGCGATGTCCCACAGCTGCAGGCGCACCAGCGTCCTGCTGTCCCAGTTGAGGACCTTGAGGGCGAAGTCCACGCCGATGGTGGCGCGGTAGTGCTGGGAGAAGAGCTGATGGACATAGCGCTTGATGATGCTGGTCTTGCCCACGCCGAGCTCTCCGATGACCAGGACCTTGAAGAGGTGCTCGCGGGTCTCGGGTCCCGGCTCGGCGGCCACCCTCCGGCCCGGGTCCCCGACACCCCC